CAAAAAAGTATACCAACTGGGATTTCTAGACCTCAAGTGTTTTTGTAGCTGATGACAGTGGTTTTACATCATTTAAATCATTTAAATTAAATTTAAATTTAAATCCAAATATATGGCTTTCCTTTTCCGTATTATAAGGAATCATCACAGGCGTTCTTACACTTCTCAATTATAGCTGAGATCATTTTCAGCTCACGATTGGAACAAAAGCAGGCAGAATTTTCTGTGGCAATTGAGAAATAGGGTCATGATAAGATATGTGTATTTAGAAGTACTCAAGAAGGCAACAGCTGCAATAGCACTAGGGGAAAGCAAAGGCAAAGGAGAGATCCTGCCCAAAAGAAAGGATCCTCTGAAAGAAAGGAAAAGCATCAAGGCAGAGATAAACGCCAGTTGGTTCCTCATATAAGCAACTAGGTTGCTAGGCTCAATGCCACGCAGGGGATGCAGTCTCCAGGAGACAAGAGGGGTGGAGAGTTTGCCACTGGCCTGTGATGTACGTGGAATATTTCTGTTTCATGGGCTATAACTGAGGATTCTTTGATGCAGTATTACTATTAAATGCATTAAATGTATTCAATTAAAATACACTGAATACTTTGAAAAATAGATTGAGTACACTGAATTGAAATTGGGAGAAGAACTAGTCATGGTGTACAATACTTTAAATGGTTGCAGAAGGTCAGGTCACTAATTACTGGAATGTATTTGTTACGGATTTTCCTTTTCTACGTTACACCATGCCAGACTAAGAGAAGCCTGACTCATTTTTTTTGCCAGTTGCACATACTTTTTCTCTGGAGGGCTGAAGACAAGGTGAATTTCCCCTCCCCATCCTCTATCTCCCTCACTCTATTAACATGACATGATGATATGGTTTTATCACTTTTAACAGAGTTGGCTAATTTAAACAGACGGATTTGGGGTAAATTTCGACACCCTGCCTAAGCCCTTATCACCGTTCAGGTGGACAAGAGATTAACAAAGCCAAGAGTTTTTGCTGAAAACAGCCAGTTCCCTGAATTGCAAATCAAGTACCCACTAACAGAAGATGGCCAACTGGGCTTCTGTGGTCTAAAGACTACACAGGAAAAGGACTATCTCCAGAGTCATCAGGGCCCAAACAGATGTTTAGCTTCAGATAGAAAAACCAACATTTTACCCTCAGAAGCAAGTACATTACACACTTGCTAATGCCTTCACCTCTAAAAGCAGCCTGGCTGGGTACCCAGTAGTCCCTGAGTACCATTCACCACGCTCTGGAGTTGGCCAGATCGATTTTTACAACCTGCCTGCATTTCTTGTGCCATCCAAGGTACAATATGACAGTAAAGAAGGTGTTAAAGTAGAATTAGAGACTGTTTTCTCAAATGGGAACTGATCCTGGCTTCACATAAGAGAATTCAGAATTAGGACTTAGAACATTCATCTTATGTACTCTGAGAAGAACCAGCTCTAGCCCTGCATGTTTACCCAACGTAAGCATGCAGTGCTGTAAAATGACACACTATCCGCCATCTTGTCGTCATGTTCGCCATCAACCGGAGAGTCAGTATTTGTCTTTAGCAACTAAATCTGACATCAGCAATAACCAGAACTTTCTCAACCCCTGCAAGTCTCCCTCTGCTGTACTGATAGCCTTGAGGCAAGATTTCTTAATGTGATTTTGGACTACAGAAAGTTGGCAGGTACAATTTACAGGATCCCTAAATCTCTTAAAAGTGTATGGTAAACGTGCATGTCCCTGGACATGTGCTGTTTCTCAGGGAGAAGGTCTTTGGTGCTCATCAGATTCTCAAAGGAATCTGCGGCCAAAAAAGTGATTAGGAAACACTGCTCTGAAGTGTGAGCCAATTAGTCCATGCAAAGCCCTGTTAAGTGGGGAACAGGACAGTCAGCAGATGCTGGTAGAAAGAGGTCTGACTTCGGGTGCTGGGCCCTTGCACATCCAACAGACATTCAGTTATGCCTTCCAAGCTCAGGAATACTGTTGATTTGTCCTTGATTTATCAGGTCATGTCCCAAGAGATTAGCGACCCCGATGATAGAGAATATGAAACCTTTTTTGAAGTTAATGAACCTTCAGTGTAAAGGTGTAAGAATCCAAGATGTTAAAGGTGATTTGAGAGCTTACCACTATCACTAAAGTTCTAAAGCCAGGGGGAGTACGTAGTCTCGGGACCATGGCTTCTGCTACTGCAATATTTACTTCCAACATGTTTGTTCTGTGGTACATAAGTTGTTGCCACAGCATGTGTCTAATTGTTATTACTACTTTGAGTGCTATAGTTCTATACATAAAGTACTACATTTCATCAAAAATTAGACTCCTATCCCTCTTTAACATGATATTATCATACACCAAGGCCCAAATGTGTTCTGAGTGTAGCACCGCATATCTCAGGTTCATTCTTGATTACCACCTCCCAGTGATTTGATATAAAGTATTCATGGGTCCTTGACTCTCCCTATGACCGTTTATCTCTGTGCTTCCCCTGTGTAGTTTCCCTGTTTACAGCTACTTCCAAATACTTGACAGCAGTTACTTAACAGTAGAGGAGAATTTTGTGGCGCAAACTGTATTCCCCTTTAAGGAAGTATTACAAGTACAGCCTCCTGTTTTTAGTTTTTTTCTACAGATTCAACACAATAACTTGTCTGGTCTCGGTTTTCTCTGTCGTCACATCTCTTTTACATCGTAAGCCCTTCGATCCTAAGCCTCATGGTAACAGGCTCACCCCTCAACACACAAACACACACACACACACACACATAGATACACGTTCCCTGGGCCAACCCAAATTATTAACTTTAATCCAGAAGTATTCCTCAGAGGATGATCTGCAGACCGTCTATATCAGAATCTTTATGAGATGGGAGTATTTGTTAAGTATGCATATTCCTGCTGGCCTCCAGACCAACTGGATCAGAATCCATGGAGATGGAAGCCACTTTTGTTACCATGGACCCCATCCATCCAGGTGACTCTTAAACACACTAAAATGTGAGAACTTGTGATTTAGAAGAACTATTTTCTCATACACAGTCAATCTCTTCTTCCTGAGTGGCCCTAATGAAACCTCCTTAGCATCCACCACTCCAGCCTGCCAGGATCCTAACTCCCTTTACTGTACCCTCCCCAGGGACTCATTGTCCACATCTACATGGCAAAAGCAAGCCTCATCTGGTCCACAAAACTCCTCAAAGCCTTCCCTTTAAATATTAAAACTACTTAAGATCACTTATCTACAGGCTTTCTCCACATTTTTTAATGCACACACACCACACCTACCATGCATGAAGTAAGAACAAAATTCTACTATTTCACCGTTCTAACACACCAAAAGCTTTCATTTTTTTACACACATGTTTAATCCTCATTCAAAATGAAACCAGAATGTAAGTGCAAATTTTAGTCCTGATTTTCTAACTCAACATCACATCAAATATATCTTCATAACTATCCTAACTATAACCATGACCTGTAATGACCACAAAATATTCCATGAAGTTAGTGCTGCCAGAATCACTTTTGCTTAATATTTTCAGATTTTTCTGGTATAATAACAATGCAGTGAATGTGTTTGTCATGTTATTATTTCCTTCTTTAAATTATTTATTTAGGATAAATTTCCAGAGGTAGAATTAATGGATTAAAGTATATGAGCATTTTAATGGCTCTTGACACATATTGCCAAGTTGCCATGATTGTATTTTACACATTTCCTCAGTGATATGCTGCTAAATGTTTACTTAATAGCCTTGCCTTAAAAATAAAAGTGTGGAGAGCCTAATTTACAGTGTTAGCCAATTTTTGTGGTGTAAATAGTCCTACCATGGCCAGTTTCAGGTTACAAATGTGACACCACAATGCAGAGTTGGAAAGAGATGCTTAATAGCATGCCATTGTATAATATTTCTTTCACACAGATAATCTGGAGTAGCTAACTTCAAGAGCATAGATAATAGTCAAATGTGGTAAATAATTGGGAAGTAATGAGTTTTGGGTATTACCTTTATTTTTAATATAATTAATGTAATTGTGATTTATAGAATTTTTTTAAATTTTCAATAGTGATTGTGTTTAACCACTGGCTTGTGAAATTTCTGGAAATATTACCATCAGCTCTTGCAAGCAAATACAGGTAGGCTCCTGCACACCGCTGGATATATCTTACTTGGTATTTTGCAAAAGCATATCTTTTTTTTTTTACATTGAAGTCATTGAAAATTCATCTTATTCCATCTGTGTCACAAGCAATAACCATGCTTTTCAGTTAGCAGATTATGATAACACATAATGAATAAAACATAATACAAAAAAAGATAGAGCAGGAGGTCTACCTGAATCAATTAATTCTGCCCATCCTCCCCCAATTCGGACAATACTCGCTTCATGTGTTCATTTTACTAGTGTGTTTCCATGGATCACCTATAACAACTACTCACCCATTGATTTACTCAAACAATGAATGGATGACTGTATATAGTTCTCATGGCAAATGTGATGAGAACCATGTTAACCACTCTCTTCCTTGGTTTTCTTTTCTACGAAATGGGGAAGAGGTCACTGCTGACTTCAACTTTACAAGAAACAAGTGTAGTGATAAGAAGACTCTAACTTATGCTCTAATAAGCAATCGAGCATTCTGTAATGCTTGGAATTTTTCTTCTAAAAGTAATTTATTAGTTTTCTGTTTTACTGAAAAAGAGACATAGAGTGGTTTGGCATTTCTTCCCAGGAAAGCAAATTCTTTTATTTGGGCTTTCTCTGAGTACTACTGAATAGCCTCTACATGTATAGAACACTTTAGAATTTTTAAGTGGCACCCCACATTTGCTTGTTAAAATGTAAGTACAGTTGACAAAGACTCTAAACATGCTCACATCCTTGACTGAATCATCCCACTCCCAGGAATTCTCCTAAGAGATAAATTCTAAACAAAAGAAAATGTTTTTGTGTGACGTTATTATTCATAATAGAAGGAAGATCATTTTACCTCATTTCAACACTTACTCAACTTACCATCTCAGTGCCTGGTGCCCTGGTAGAAGAGTTCTGGATTAATGGCTCCCAGATGCTCACCTGTAGAACAACAACAAGTCACCTGGAAGAAAAACATTTGCATTTTTATGATACAGATTCCTGGACCCCACTCCAGGGCTGGGTGTGATACATGAGAATTGGTATTTTTGAAAAGCTTTCCAAGGGGTTTTGATGTCCAGCCAGCTAAAGGAACTACGATTCTAGGCCAGAACCAGACAAATCAAACCATCTCTGAACTGTGGTCCACATCCAGGGAACAACAGTATGACAATGTCTTATTTAAGGCATCGAGAAGTTACTCAGGACAGTCAAGCAACTGCTGGAGTCAAATGACTGAAGAGCCACAGAGGGGCAGCCTTAATTCTGGCACCTTGCCCTCTCTCTGTTCACCCTTTCCATCTCTGCCACCCGCACCCCCTTGCTCTCACTGCCCAACCCAGACTCAATACTGCCCTGCTGCCTGCCAGCAGACTCCACTTTGCCGCCCCATCCTGACTTGTGTCCACCCCGTTCCATACAAAGAACCCCCAGATCTCCTCCCTCATGACATTAGTGGGGCTCTAGAAAGAAAAACAGTATTATGATTTGACCAAAGTAATCTACATGTATAATTGAGAGTCCTCTGAATAATGAGCATATAAATCATATTTGCATTTTTAAAGGCCACTTACTAATCCTAAAGAATCTATGATCTGAAAACAGAGTGGAACAGGAAAGCAGGGTGCTTTTTAATCTTGGCTTTCACCCACACCCAAGCATCCAGAACCCAAATAAGCACTTTGGTTATTTATTGTCAAAACGGTCCCAACTCCTGAATAGAAGTGTTTTTTTTTTTTAGCTGTTCCTTGTTAACACTAAAATTAAAATATATAACATAAAATAAATAATTTAACTTAAACTGGCCAAGGAAGAAGCGTCACCCTCTTGCCTCTAACTCCAAGTACTCTATAATTCCACTCAGAGCATTCAGAGAGCATTATCCACAGATGTCCACAAATAACACAGCAGTCACTCAGAGAGTTGTCCTCTAAGTGAGAATTTGCTATGGAAAGGCTTAAAAAATCAATTTCTAATCTTGTTTTCCTTTTTTCATATGCATTTTTTGCTATAAAACATCCAGCCCTGTGCCTAATCCATGCTTGGTGCTCCAAAAATATTAATCCCCAGCCTCTACCTTCACCCCCACTTTACTGGAATTACAAAAGTCACTTTACAGATATCTTGTTCCCAAGCCGGTGACCATATATTATCTTCATTCTAATGTTCCCAGCCTTGGTAAGACTCATAATAGCTATATTTACTGAGAGTTTATTTTATGCCAGGCACTAGGCTAAATGCTTTACATATTTTTATCTCATTTTATCCCTACAACAACCCTCTGGAGTAGATATTTCTGGTTATTGTTAGAGCTACTTTACAGATTTTTGATTTTTAATATCTGAGGATTGAAGAAGTTAAGTAACATGTCTGAGGTTCTCATAGATCAGAAGCAAGAGCACCAGGATTCAACACAAGGCAATCTGGCTCCAAAGTCTAGGTTCTTATTCACCACGCTGTATCTTTGTTATTACGTGAACACAGATATTTCTTGGCTCAGGAAAAAAAAAAGTGCTCCGAATCATTAGGAAAGGAGCGGAAGCAAATCCACAACCTCTCATTCAGACACGCAAAGGAAACCATACATAGTTCATGGAATTCTTGTTCTGGTGTTTGAAGAGTAGAGACTTGCCTGTAATTGGACAGCCAACTTGTCCTTCCAAGAGGAAAGCCATTTTAATTACCGGATGATTGAAAGGCCTCCTTAAAATGTAGTACCCAGAAATGGAGGTCTTATAGGTACCCCAAGCCACACAAGGCTTTCTCGGCATGGGTGGTATACTCAGGGAGAGAGTGGGGAGAGGGAGGTGAAGGGTCACAGACACGGAGATGCACAATGCAGCCCCAAGCATGAGGAGGGAGGACCCCCAGGCAACCCCCAACATGGAATTCTGCTGGAGCTGCGAAAGTGAAGGAAGAAGAGCCTGATGGCCCAAAGAGACCAGAAAACCACTGAATAGAGCCTCTTCTCCTCAGCAGCCTCTCAAGGCCCTCCATAATCTGTCTACATCTTAATTTTCCAAGCTTATTTTCTGCCCATGTGTAAAACTAACTTTCTTCTTTTCTCAGGCCAATCTCCTCAACTAGACTGGTTGTCTCCCAGTACATCTCGCCTTTGTGCCTTTGACCACACAGTCCTCCTTCTCAATCGACTCAATTCTCTTATCTTTTCAAGGCCCATGTCTTCCAGACAACTCCAGCCTACCCTCAAATCTTATTCTCCGAACTCCTATAACTCTTACAGCCTACAGCCACCCAACGTGACCCTTAATTCCCATCTTGTAGTACCTCCTGAATTTTAGTTCTTACCCCAACTACTAGATTAGAAGGTCCTTCAAAATAGAGAATTCTTTGCATTTCTCATATCCTCCACAGCACTAGCTTAGAATGAATATGTGATTATCGACTACTTGTTGTTTAGTTGAGTATTTCAATGGCAGCTTTAATTTAGTGGGGAAAAAAACCCAAACCCAGTGATTTCCCAAACTTTATTTAGTTAGACCCAGGCTACTGACTGGTACCTCACAGCATGTCTCCAAATCAAACCACCTCAAAAACCAAATTTAATAGAATTTAAAAATATATACTTATACATCATATACCACCTTTAGAAATTTTACACTGGGAATAGGTGAAATGAACAAGTTAGAAATTCCAGATCTGAAACTGTATCATGTGGATTTTGGTTCTGTTTCTTTTCTGAATTAGAAATTTTTAAAACTCATATTTGTACAACTTAGAGAATCTTTAGATTTACTTCATCAAACAGGGAGATATTTAAACTACCCAAATATTTGAGCTAAGTCATAGCAGTCACAAGCATATGAATTCTCTTGGAGAATATCTGGACAACCAAAAAGCCAACTACTATAACTTTTAATGTTTCAAAAACTATGCATCTTGTTAGGACTTGCGGAAGGTGGTAGTTGGGTATCAGAGCAAACCCCCCTTCCCCATACTTTACAAAAGGCAGAACAGGGTAATTGCTATGTTTAGCCTATAATAAAAGCTAAATAAATTCGGAAAGATTTCTTTTGACTCTGAAGAAATATTTTTAAAGAAGTAAAAGTCTTACCTGTTATAGAGTGCCAAAGAAATTTCTTGACACTAAAATGACTGACTCCGGAAGTCCAATTTGTTCGGAGCAGGTAAGTAAAAGCAAAAGCAGCGCAAGGCCTTCCACGGCTTTAATTTCCTTCTAGGATTGACAGTTCCTTCCTCCTCACGAATATAGCCAACTCACGTTGGAAGATGTTAAATCGTGAGAGTTGGGCCAGTGGAGACTCCAACCCACAGTGGTTGGGTTTAGTGTGAGCGGCGACTGAGGCAGCAGGAACAATCCGAATGTGACAAAAAGGATTAGCAAGTTCCTGTGCAGAAGTCAATTTCCTGTAGCTGGCTTCGCCGAAAAAGAAGGTTTCGTTTGTGTGGGTTTAGTGATGTGTGTGTGCGTGTGTGTGTGTATGTGTGTGTGTATGTGTGTGTGCACGTGCGTATCTCGCCATGACAATATGAAAACTCTCCCAGAAAAGAGGTAGAAAAAGGCCTTTGCTGCATGGTTGGGTTTGTGTTGAATTTATCCTCTCCCTTGGAACCATTTCCCTCTCCCCTGTCCCCCATTTCCCACCAGCAAATCACCTATGTAAAACTGAAGAAAGGAAGATTGAAAAACTAAGATGATTCCTTAAGGAAGTGAAATGAATCAGGGAGAAAAACAAAAAAAAGGCTGTAAGGCCACACTACAGACTGGTCTTGATTAATTTAAGCTTAGTTAAAAAGCACTTTAGAAATGACATGTCAGCTTGGTGAACACACTGACTATGGAGGGAAATGGTAGGTAGGCGGTTTGCTTTGCTTTATTAATAACTACTAAGTAATGACTTGCAAAGGACAGACAGCCCCAGTGAGGACTCGGGCAGCCCCGTCCCGCGTTTGCCCTTTGATAGACCAGCATGTGTGTTTGCGGTACGCGACTGTGAGTTGTTTTCAGACTCCTCGGAGTTTCGTTATTTGCCTCCAAACACAAATGTACTTGTTCTGTCCTTCGGTGCAATGCAGGTGTAGAGACCATCTGCACCTGTTTAGATTATGGATGAGTTGCCTACACAAACAAATTTAACTTTCATGATGTGGTCACACTCCCCTATGCCTCGAATCTCTGAATAACTGTAAATGCTCCCTCCCAGGGTGAAATCTTGGTCAAATGCCTACATGCCATAAAGATAAAAATCAACTCCATCAAGTCCACAGGCATTTATAGAGCCCCTGCTATGAGCAAGACCCAGTGCTGGGTGCTGGGGCTGGGGAGGGCACACAAGGGTGAACGAGACGGAATCTCTCACTTGTCATGGCCTAAATCAAGCAGGGGCGAAAGATGTGGGCATAAAGGAGATACCATGAGTCAGGACCTAATTACAGATCTCACTCAAAAAATCCTGAGACCCCAGAGTCAGGTGAAAGGAACAGCATGTGTCCAATCTTTGGCTGGTTAAAATAACCATTAGATGTTGACATAGATTCTCTCAAAATATTCCAGGGAGCCTTGGCTGGCTTCCAGGAGGCCCTGCAGACCCACATGTATCATCTCAGGGCCAGCCTCATCATTGCAGACTCAGAATCCTGTCATGTGCCTGATCCTGTGAACTGAAGAGAAGCACACAGACCAAGACAGACATACAGACATACAGACAGACATACTCCCTGTGCTTGCAGCACCTACATCCTAGTGGGGGAAGACCAAAAACGTTCATACAAATGCAATCATTACAAATTACAATAGCTGTTGCAAAGGAGTCAGAGAAGAAGCTGAGCTAGAGAGCAAGACAGTGTCTATGTCCCAGGGGTGGTCAAGGAGGGCCTCTTTGTGCAGCTGACATTTAAGATGAGACTTGAAGCTGTGAACCTCAGCCCTGGCTGAGAAGTTTTTAAGAAATAACCAGTACCTAGGCCCCACCCCCAGAGATTCTAGTTTGATTTGTATGGGTTGGGGCCTGGGCATCAGTGTTAACTCCCCGGTCATTCTAACGTGACTCTACTGCTCTAATGATGAAAAAGAGGAGCCTAAGGAGAGTAGAATGAAGGAAAGTCCAAACAAAGGCAATCGCATGTGCAAAGGCCCTGAGGTGGGAAGAGCTTGGCATGTTCAAGGGAGTGAAAGAGTACTGACATTGTCTGCTGGGCAGTGATAGCAGGGATAAACAGCGCAAGTGAGCCACAGAGATGGCTACGCAGCTGCTAGGTCCACAAGAGACTCTTGTGTAAACCCAGGCATCAGTTTGTTAATGTGCAGTAAGAACTCAATCTGGCAGGTGAGATCCTGAGCCCTCTGATGAGCTCCTTCTAGAAAATTCTCCAAGGAAAGCCAAATCACCATCATGGTGTTATTAGGTAAGCAGAACATATATCTGCTGGATATTTTATTTATTTACCTCTCGTTTGGGTTGACTGAGGGCAGCTTATAAAAATACATACATCTTAGCATGATAAGACAAATTTAAAAAAAGAAATGGAATGATGAGGCCAAAAGAAATGAAGGCAAAGATTAAGCTAAAACCAGGGACGAGGGTGATAGAGAAAATGAAAATGCCGCGGAGTTCTAAACATTTAAGCCACCGGCGTGAAGCAGCAAACGCTACCACACAGAAAGCTGCAGGCCTACTGAACAAACACGAGTGCGCCGCTCAGGATGCTCAGGATGGTGAGGGCGTCCTGGCTTCCTGGTGCTGAGACTGAAGAGAAACTCATTGCCTAGATTCTTACAGGAGAACATCCGACTCCAGTGGAAAGCCATCCTTCGGCTGAACGCAGCCAGCCACAAGTCCTGCGAGGCGGTTCCTTACTTGTTTCCTCCGTGGCGGCTGATTTCATCTCATGAAAATGTCGACTGAAAGCCACCCCAGGACGCACGTAGGGGATGGTGTGCCAGGGCATTAGTACAGCGTGTGCGGCCCCAGGACGCTGCTCCGTTAGGACAGTTTAATGCAGAGGTGAAGATCAGCTTCAGGTGTGACTCAGAAAATTCAGAACAGAGTTTCCTCATCCGAGAGTCTAAAAGATTAGGGGCAGCAAAGAGTTCAAAGATGGTTGTACTTCCAGCAAGGGATCCAGTGGTTTCCAAGGGTCCCTGTGCCCCTTGAGAAGCAGAGGAGTTGGGCAAGGACAGCTGCGTACAGGGGCAGCCCCCTCCACCTCCAGGAGAAGGGGGGACTCTGCCCTTTGGGAAACAAAGCAAGAGACACCACAGGTGTGCTTTGTAAGTTCAGGGCCTCAGGCCTTGTGCACTTTCTCCACAAAAGAGCATACATATGCACGGTGAGGGCAGACGGGGTGTGCCTGCAGCCCAAGCTCTCCCACCCTGTCCTGGATGGTGCTGGAAAGGGTATTGCCCACAGAAACCCCTTCTCCCCTTGGCTCCCAGGCTGCCCCTCCGCCTCTTCTGAGGGACTTGCTCTCAGTGTGTTTGTAGGTGTAGTTTGTCATGTTCTCATAGAGTCAGGCTTCGCGCTGCCTCCTGTTCCTGACAGTGAGAAGTGGTTTTTCCTATTGCCTCTTACACACCTCACATCTGCACATAAAATTTAATCTCAGAGGGGATTTTCTTGATGGGGTCGGAGGAGGAGGTGTTGAGGGACAGCCATCTAACTTTCTTCCTTTCCTGGAAATCTCTCTTTGGTTTTTTCTCTCTTTCTCTCTCTCTCACACACAAACACACATTTTTTAACAGATGAGGTAGTAGTGAGGGAAGGAAGCAAATAACCTAAAATCACATGTACACACTACAGGCTTACACACACACACACACACACACCCCTCTGGGTGTGTCATTTCTGATGCTGTATAGCCCAGCCTTGGGACAGAAGTGGGGGGAAATCCTGGGGAGTTCACAGTGGTAGTGGGAAGGAAACATGGGTATGGAGTTCCAGTAAGAACTAGACCCTCGTTATAAGCTGGAAGTCTTCCATGATGGCCACCCACCCCAACTGTGAGCCAGGTTCATGCCCTCCCATGAGTGCACATAGCACCTGTTTACACTGCCAAGTGTTCACCAAACAGCCAGTCGTGTCCGGGGCCCTGGAGGCCCAGGGCCTGGCCTTGCTCACTGGTGCGTCTCAGGCAGTAAATAGTCAGCCACTACAGAAGCATTTGTGACCCATGGATGGACTCCCTCATCTGATCTCACAACAGCCTTATGTGGTCATCATTTTTAAATATAATTTACAGCCAAGGAGCCCTCAGCTGGTTAAATGATTTGCATGAAATGCCACAGCCACGAAAAGCAGAACAAAGAACCCCTTCCTCCCGCCCTGGCTCTTTACTCTGCTGTCTCCAGTGGGGAGGGCTGGGCTGCTGGTGGGGGACAGCCCGAGCCCCAGACCGCTGAGCACCCCTCCTCTGAGGTTCCTAGGCAAATACAGTTGGCTAAAGGTCATGACTTGCTTTCTCAAAAACACCCTCATTTGAAACATCCTCTGATAAGGCAGATGAACAGCTTCTTTTCTCTTTAACAGCCTCCCAAGAACGAGGATCTCTTTTAATAAGATTTTTAAATAATGTAATAATTGTCTGTGTACTCTGAACTCACTCCTAAATGGTATTCTTGCCCACTGTAAAGGTCTCAGCCATTTATATCAAAGAGAACTCTTAATGACAATGGTAATTGTAACAAACAGGAAACCTTGAAAACCCTGTGATATCAATCATTTACTCAATTTTTACCCTGGGTTAGTAAGATGCCTCCCCCTTCTCCTTACTGTTAGCATATGAAGTGAAATGACTTGGATTTAGTGGGTAGCTTTTAATGTTTACACGGACCCTCATTCACGATATGCCACCCCAAAAATAAAATATTTCAGTGGGTTCTGAAGATGGGAAATATGTACTAAAACTTTGTCTGAAGGCTTTGAGTTTCAAACCCAGGGCATTCATCAGGCTGTAATTATTTTACCCAGCTCCCCACTAAGAGATAAACAACGGTATTAAACCAGAACATGCATTCTTTCTGTTTGATTTTATTATGGAGATTGTAAAATGTTAGCTCTTCATAAGAGAAAGAGCTTAACTCTGATGTATCACTTTCAGTGTAAAAATACATTCATATAAAGTACCCTTTAAAATTATAAATATTAAAATATCCCGGAAATGCCACAGGCTAGAAATGACAGGAATGATTTTCTCCTTATGCATTTTAATTCTTTATAAACAACAGCCTCCCTAACCGGGAGGAATATCATTTCAAATATCTTCTAACTTCCCTCTTCCAGCCACAGCCATGAAAACATCATTCCCCTGCTGTTATTCTCATCATCCATTTTCTCTTTAGCTGTTTTAATGTAACATAATGTATTGCTTTTTGT